TATAGAGCTGAGAGAGGGTTATAGCCACAAATAAGTAGCCTCCTCGTCTGTAGTGGCCTTCTCGGCCTTGAGGAGGTGAATTAAAATAAAAAAAAATAATAAAAAAAAATTCAGTCATAATTATCCTAAAATGACCATCACTAATAAAACATGCACAAGTACATCTTTTAATTGAAGATGGCAAGTTTGGACAATTATTGCATGTTTAAAGATGCCTTAAACAGTTTTTCATAATATTATTCAGTTCATTATATTATTCAAGTCAACCAATCGCATAAAACCTGGAAAATCTTGTGGAAAAGCAAGAACTACCACTTTAAAAACTGCTCAGTTTATAAAGTTGTTCAGTTTTCAATTGTCAAAAGTGGCAATAGAGAACTGAACAACTTTATAAACTGAAATGCAGCAAAAAAGTTTTGTTATAATCACAAATTGTAAAAGATAAAAAACAATGATAAAACACAATCTCTTTCAAAAATTAAATTGTTTAAAAAAGTCTCTAAGGAATCTCACCATTCATTAAACAAATTAAAAATTTTTTTTTTTAAAAACATAATTTTTTTTTTATAAAAACAGACTAAGCAAATTCGTAAAACTATGTTAGGTTTAGAAATGGAAGATGATAAAATTGCAAAAAAACTAAAAGGTTTTTTGTTAATATCTCAATAAATAATTTGCTTTTGGTAAGTTTAACTCTAAACTTACTTTCTGAGGTTTGTTTTTTTTAATTAAGTTTATCTTCAAAATTAAGTTAGTAATGAAACTTTTTTCTCTGCTAAACAAGATTATTTTTATATTTATGGGTTAAAGTCTCTAGACTCTAGTTTTAAATATATTTCTGCAATTAACTTATCAAAAAAGCATTTTCAAAAAAAAAAAGTTTTTTTATTTGCAGCTTGTGATTAATTTTCTTTCAAAAGAAAAAAAACTGAAACAATTCAAGTGTTGTAACACTGAACATTCAAGTGTTGTAACACTGAAAGTGCTACAACGAAGTATCACAAAAAATTGAGATGAAAATTTTTAGTGAGTCATGAGCATTACTTCTGCAAAGCTACTTCAAGCCTTTCTCTTTTTTTTATTGCATTTATTATCACATATTTTTCTTCAAAATTTTTCTTTTGCCAAGGCTTTCTATTTTTTTAATTGAATTTATTACCACAGATTTTTCTTCAAAATGTTTAGAATTTCTTTTAAATTAGTTGCTTTTAATATTTTACTTTAAGAAATCTTTCTAGCATTAAGACTGTTCCACCTTGTTTTACATACATTATTAGTCTAATTTCTTTATGAAACGTACATTTTAAATACATTTGTAAGATTTCATTTTTAGGAGGTGATTTGCATAACATTCAAACAATTTTTCAAACCTTTTGAATCATCAAGGAAATAATTAGGTTACTTTGTAGATCATCAGTGAATGTTTGTTGAGCTGACTCGGCATTATGTTCAATTTTATCAAATGTAATTCATCATTTTTTTTTTTGCCTTTCAAATTCTTTTTTGCCTCTGAAAAGTTTGAAAATTTATTGTAAATTAATTTTAAAGAACATCACATACTGCTAAATGAACGCAGTATTCAATACCACTAAGCCATCCAGTTATGGATGCTTCAGTATTATGGATGTTCCATCAGTGACACTAGCTGCAGGCTTGGTCGGGAAGCGGGAGCGATCGCTCTCGAATACTGACCACGGAAATTATATTTAGTTGCGTAAAACTGGCCAGGTTTTTTAGTCGTTTTGAGAACATTTAAGTTTATGTACGAAACAAAAAATTTTTGTTTTACGGACATACATGGAAACATAAAAAACTTGATGGTTCTCAAAACATCTTTGTGCGAAAGAATAAAAAGAATATTTGCAAACTCTCAAAACCCGCCAAATTAACGAACAAACTAATTCTATTGGTTCAAAAAATACGCTGTTTAAGCGAAATAAAGTTCTAGAGTATTCTGTTAAAATGTTTTAAAAAATTGTATTATACACGATTTGTTACGTTTTGAGATTTCTAGCATTGTTTTAAGAATATATATTATTTGTTTACGAAAATAAATGTTTTAAATATAATTGATTAAATTGTTAAAATTTTAAAAGTTTATTATAAATCATTGATTTTATTAGTATATTCTTATTTTTTATTTTAAAAGAGATTGTATTCTTTATGTAAATGTAATTTTGTGTTTTTGTTTTTTATCGTAATGTATCTTTTAAAGCAATTTTTATGATTTAAACAAAGACTTACAAAAATAATTGCGTTTTCAATGAAGTTATAATCGTTAAAGTTAATAAAACTAATTATGTAACAAACATATAAGTAGTTTCTGGTTACTAAACACAAAAAACGCATACAAAGTAACTCGCGGATGAACAAGCATCGCGCCTGAGGTCACGACTAATATACTTTTTTCTGCTTTAAATACTAATTAAAATTAAAAAGCTCACTCACTAAACATCATCAGCGATATTGCGAAGCAGTTTCGCTTCCTGGTCATTAAGTATTTTTAACCTTTTTAGTTGATTTCTATCTTGATTATTTAATTCCTATAGTAATTCGATGATTTAATTTTTTCATTTGTTTATCTTACTAAGAAGAATCGCTTCAAATATGTTAAACTTTTCAAACTACTCGAAACATAAAATAGGTATTAAAAAATTAACTTTTTTATTTATAAAAAAATTTAGCTTAAGTAAAACTAAAACTTGCAAACTTAGTTAAATAAAGAATATTTATTTCCCTTTTAAACAATCGCAAGTTGTTACTTTATATAAAAAACATCGCTTAATTTTATTTTTTTAGTAATTGTCTCTCATCGGTCCAATTAATCTTCGTCGCTTTTTTTTTTTTTGCTTTTTAAAATGTTCTCAAAACGACTAAAAATCTGGCCAGCTTTTCGCAACTAAATATTATTTACGTGGTCAGCAATCGAGAGCGATCGCTCCCGCTTCCCGACCAAGCCTGTAGCTGTGGTTTTCATAAATTGAAATCTGAGAGTTTCTTTTCTGCTTACACCAAAACATTTTAGTTACAAAGACTAAAATTACTCGGCTTAACTAATCTCAAAGAACGGAAATCTTGCAGTGACCTCATACTGCAATCCAAAAATTGCTTATCATTTACAATAGGTTTTATTTTCCACAACTTCAGCTTTTCTCATTAAACTCAGCATATAGTTAAAAACTTGTCAACTTAAATTGTTAAAAAATCTAACTAATCAAAGGTAATAACTTCCTGCAGGAAGTGATCCAGTTATTGGAGTCATCCAAACATCTCCTGCAGGAAGTGATCCAGTTATTGGAGTCATCCCTAGATTCCAAAACTTTGTTGATAAGTGTAAACTTATATTTAAATAACATTGATTTTTTATAAACATATATTCATCTAACAATACAGAAAATCGTTACCCACTAAATATTTCTATTGTTATTTCTAAAAAAAACATTTTTTTAAGCTAAACCATATTTGTTTTTTATCATATAACATGAAATGGATTTTTGGGTAATATCATGCTTATTTCTAACAATGATTTTTTAATGAATTTACTTTTTATTATGACGTTTATGAAGAAGAAAAGGAGTTTATGAAGAAGCTGTTTTTATTTTACTGTTGCTATGTTACCGTTGTTAGCTTAGACACAATTTCCTTAATAGCTGTTTAACAAATATTGTGATTTTTTTTTTTTTTTTTTTGCACATTTTCAATCGAATTTTTACTGTTTTTCAATCCAGTGTCTTCATGTGAATGCTTCATATGTAAATCCATTTCTTTGTGTGCATTTTTTCTAAACAACAAAAGAACCTGCTTGTAGAAAATCGTCTGTACATTTTTTTAACTGTTCTTTTTTTTCCGTTCCTTTTTTTTTTGTCTAAATAAATAAAATGAATTATATGTCAAGCCTAAAAAAGTGACTAACTTTTTTTGAGGTAACTCAAAATTTCTTTTTACGACCTTGTAGTTATATTTATTTACCTTGTACCAATGTAGTTATATTTATTTACCTTGTAAACTAGGAGTATTTGATTTTGCTTTCTAACCAGTTTCATAAAGTAGTTTCCTCTGAATTGAAAAGTGTTTGTAAATTAATTGTATTTATATGTTTATTTAATTATACTTTATTGTTTGAAGGCAAAAAAAAGGAAACTTTTTGGGAAGTGTAAATGGATTGAATTCAATCTATTTCCAATTTCTGGAAAATGGAAAGTATGTAAAAATTAATCACTTTCTTTAAGTGTTAGACGGTAATAAAGTTATAATATTACTAATCATTAAATTCAACCTTACTTACCTACAATTTCGAATCACATTCCATTGGAAAGTCAAAAAAACATATAAACAATCTTTTTTTTTAATTTTCTTTATTTAATAAGATTTTTTTTACAAATAGTTGATTATATCAATGTCAATAGAACTTATCCCTGGTCAAATAAACTTATCCCTGGTCAGAAATAAATTATTTTGACAAAATGGTCTTATTGTTTAAAAATATCGTATTCAAAAAAAAATTTCAGATAATTTTGTTTAAAAATGTCATAATCAAAAAAACTAAATATCCAAGAAATAATAATAGATTAAATTCAATCTATTTCCACTTCCTGGAAAGTTGGAAACTCATTAAAACTTAATTTTTTTTTATGGCACATAAGTTGTATAATTGAAACAATTTATTTTTCATTACAAAAAAATGGATTATTTTAAAAATTTCCACTTTCTTGGAAGAAAGTGAAATTGAGTACTCGTTGTATATTACAAAGTAATTTAAAAAGATTACAGTTACTGTTAAAGAAAATGAAATGTATAAAATGAAATGAATAAATAAATGAAATGAATAAATGTCTTATTTTTTTTAAATATGATATTGAAAAAATGGAAAGGCTGACTTACAAGTAAAACAAGTTTTTTTTTTTTTTTTTTTACACAACATAAATATTATAAATATACCTTCATTTTATTTTATTTGATACAGCAAAGTATTATTTTTTTATTATTTTTTATTTTTACAGCACATATTGGTAAATGCTACTCATTTCAATCAAAAAACTTTCCAAATTATTACATTGGTGTTGGACATGATGATGTTGTAACTATTCGACTTCATAGTATGGATGGATTTTGCATTGTCAAACGTAAGTAATATTAAATTTAGTTTTTATTATTCAAATTTGAAATAAAAGTTTAATATTAATTGTCAGCACATGTGTTTTAATTTAGTTTTAGCGGCATGAATCCCCGGCTCCATTTTATAGAAGAAGCCCCCCTGCCCTGTTTTTTTCTACCTTATACTTAATATGCCTTATAAGTCAATGTTTTGCAAATAATGGAGTTATTTAGAATTAAAATTTCAGTTTTTACACACTTTATTAAAGTGAAATGGTTGAAAATTTGGGGTGTGGGGGAGGGGGGTTGTACTAGATGTGATTTTTATTATTTAATATTTGACATTTACCATTTGTTTTTGTACTTGAGCATAAATAAGGATTTTTTTGAAAAGAGTATTGAAGTTAAAAAAAAGTTTAGTTATCCGAGTTGTTGAGAGCCTCTTCTCATTTAAAATTAGGTTTATCCTGAAAAGATAGATGTTAAAAAGCCTATATTATTGATAAAATATTATGCAAAATATAAAAGAAATTTTTTTTATGTCTGAATTAACCTTAATTGACCATGTCTGATTTTGCAATTGTCTGCATGAAAGATGGAGATTAAATTCCTCTTTACCTCTTTTAAACTTTTTAAACTTTTTCCTTGTTTAGATTCATAAGCTCCTTAGTCTGATTGAGAATAAGCATTAACTTAAGCCATATTAAGACCATGCGTGATGAATTGCACTGGGCTTATGAATGTTGATAGGTTTAATTTCTGGGTCCAATATATGCATATATCTATCTATATATATATAGATATATAGGTATATATATATAGATATATAGATATATATATATAAATATATATAAATATATATATATAAATATATATATATATATATATATATATATATATATATATATATATATATATATATATATATATATATATATATATGTATATATATATATATATATATATAGATATATATGTATGTATATATATATATATATATTTATATATATATATATATATATATATATATATATATATATATATATATATATATATATATATATATATATATATATATATATATATATATATATATATATATATATATATATATATATATAGATAGATAGATAGATAGATATAGATATATATAGATATATATATATATATATATATATATATATATATATATATATATATATATATATATATATATATATATATATATATATATATATATGTATATATATATATATGTATGTATGTATATGTATGTATATATATATATATATATATATATATATATATATATATATATATATATATATATATATATATATATATATATATATATATATATATATATATATATATATATATATATATATATATATATATATATATATATATATATATATATATATATATATATATAAATCAAGGTTGGATTAAGCAATCGCGGTTTGCAAAATCTGGAAAAAAATCTGGTCTACAATATTTTAGTTAATGCAAAACCTTGTACTTTGTTTTTATGAAGCAAATTAGCTTAAATTTGATAGCAAATAAATTATAAAAACAAAACAATAAACTTACGACCACAAACGTAGTAACTCTCACTTACTGCATTATAAACACTTACTGCATTATAAAAGTAATAATACTATAATAGTGTTATTACTTTTATAACGGACTTATAACCTTTACAATTTATAAGTAATCCCTAATATTTAAAAAAATTTAGAAAAGCGTCTAGAAAAGTTATAGTGGATATTCAAATAATACTAAAAACTTCAGCAACTTAAACAAATACGTGCTTTATAAGAAATGTTATGCATTTCTAAAATCTTACTAATGGTTTGTAAAAATGCGCATTACTTTTAAATCCACCAATAAAAAATTTTAATTGGTTGATTTTAAAATAAACACCTGTGTTTGCAGACCATTAGTAACATTTTTTGAAATGATAAACTTTTTATAAAGTGAATATTGGTTTAATGTTTATAACATTATATGAATATCAACTCAATTTTTTCTAGATGCTTTTCTACTTCGATTAAAATTTGGGATTATTTATGCTGCTTAAACAAAAAATGAATCATAAAAGTTATAAGTGTGTTATAAAAGTAATAACACTATTATAGTTTATTACTTTTATAATGCAGTTGGTGACTAAAGTTTTACAACTTTTTTGCTAACAAATTTATGTTAAATTGCCCCTTAGAAAACAAAGTACATGGTTTTGCATATATATATATATATATATATATATATATATATATATATATATATATATATATATATATATATATATATATATATATATATATATATATATATATATATATATATATATATATATATATATATATATATATATATATACATACAATTTTTTTTTAAAAGGATCCCAAAAAAATTATTAGAGCTGATTTTTTTTTGAATAAAACAAAATAATAAATGTATACCAAGAAAAAATAACTTTGTTGTTTTACTTAAAGCTCGTCTCCATGTTAGTCGGTTCCTTCAAATCTTTAAAATATATGCCGCAATCTACAGACTTTATATTTTATTCAAGCGCGTTTAATTCCAAAGAGTTTTAGTATTTGACATCAATCGTATGACTTTGCTAAACAAAAGTTTTTTTATAGAGCAAAGATTTTTATGATACTCTCTTTTATATTATTATTATTATATAATATAATAGTATATTATTATTATATAATATAATAGTAAAAAGATGTTAATCACCTTGTTATATTTTCTGAATTTTTTATCTTTTCATGTAAACAATGTTTACTTTTTTTCTAGTTTATCGAAGCTGTTTATAGCTATGATTACCAAATTAATATCGTTTACAAAAAATTGTACATAATTTTTGGTAAACAACATCATTTATTAGAGATTTTTGCCTAATTCTATACTTTTTAGTCAGAAAATATTTTTAGAATTTACATTTAACTAATCTATAGACAGCTTTTTTATTAATTAAAACAATAATGTTTTATGGCAAAAGTTCAAGGCAGATGGCAATTAAAATAGCTAATGTGTTGCAGCACGCATTAAAAAACATATTTAATATTCCCCAATATATATATATATATATATATATATATATATATATATATATATATATATATATATATATATATATATATATATATATATATATATATATATATATATATATATATATATATATATATATATATGTATATATATATATATATATATATATATATATATATATATATATATATATATATATATATATATATATGTATATATATATATATATATATATATATATATATATATATATATATATATATATATATATATATATATATATATATATATGATATTTAGCAAGTTTTTTACAATCCAAAAAACTACCAAATCGACAATAAAAAGTTTTTTGTTTAACAATTTCAGTTTTAAAATTGTTTTAATAATACTATACTTTTTTTGCAATCTTTACCAATAATTGTTCAATTTTAAAAATAAAATAAAATCTTTATATATTATTGCCGAACTTAATCCTTTTAGTAGTGTTAATGTCCCTTTGAGTGCGTTTGACAAGAAACTCTTGGCAGCCATTGCAACCGAGGTAGTGACAAAAAATTGTTCATTTTGTTGTAAGCAAAGTATGTGAACTTCAAATTTTTTTTCAATATATCTTTACCAATAATTGTGCAATTTAAAAAAAAAAAAAAAAAAAAAAAGTTTCACTTTAAATTAAATTGCAATTAAAACTTTTTGGTTTTAATTCAAAATCATGTTAAGTTTGTATGACATAAGTTTTACTTATGAACACAAATTATGCTTACATATATCTTATTGGTCACTTATTGGTAATCTATAAATTATTTACAATCTTTATTAAAAATAATTCATTAAATACTTTAAAAAACAAATCAAAAAACTGCGATAAAAGAAACAAAAGTTTATTATTTTATGTATTTAATATAATTTTAAGAAATAAATGATAGAGAAATATAATATTTTTCAAATAACGAATTTAGATTTCTTTAGTAATTTTTGTTAAAATTATTGTTTATAAAATTTTAACGCAATTTAACATTTAACTTTTAATAATATAAAAAACATTCCTTAAATTTACATTAATATAATTCAATACTTATATATAAAATTTAAGTAAGCATCATTAACATAAAGCATCCGTGGCACAGTGGTAGCGCACTTGCCTAAGAAACGTAAGATCCGTGGTTCAAATCCCACCTCTGGGCAAGTCCTGCGACATCGGTTGGGAAGGAGGCATGAACTTCCAATCAAATGCTCTTCTGCCTTGCTCTGTGATAAGACCATAAGGACTTCTTGGGCACCTAAATCAACTTTAAAAAAAAATAAATGATAAAGAGTGATAATGGTTGGAGGTTGACTGCAAGAGCAGGTCTAACTATGTTTACAATGCATTTTTGTACCTTGTCTAAAAGAGAAAAGGCATCATTAGAAGATCTGCCCCAGATATGGCAACAGTATTCCATACAAGGCCAGATTTAAGATTTATATAGATAGTGAATAGAATCCGGAGTAAGAAAGTGTCAAGCTCAATAAAAAGATACAACCTTAGCATAAGCTAATTTTTCAATGGATTTAAAATAAGGTTTTCAAGAAAGATCAGAAGTAAGAGTTAATTCGAGATGATGTAGATTTCTCATTAATTCATTTCTCTACCATTCATAAATATATGAAGAACTAAATTATTGCGATTGGCTGAAAAAGTTGAGTTTTATCTTAATTAAAGTTCACCAGTCAATGTGAGCCCCATGCTGAAGCAGAAGGGAGATTCTTTTCAAGCTCAAATGTCCCATCCAAGCAATCAGAGAGTGTTGGTTTCTTATCATTACAAGAATAAATGGTAGTATCATCAGCGAACAATGCCACCTTATATGTGAGAATATCTGGAAGATCGTTAATGTAAATTAAAAAGAGCATAGGGCCAAGAGATGTAAAATTACAGAATATAAAGAAGAGTGCTGTCCATCGAGGATAGTTTTTATACTATGGT